TGAAAGGTTAAACACAACTTTTTTCAGAGGAAAATTGATCAGCGCTCAAATGTCATCTGTCTAGGTGCAGCAGTATGCTGGCATGCAAACACTGCTCTCCTCACTCAGGTTCCCTAGCTGCATAGCATTTGCATGGTGACATTTTGTTACCCATTTAGCAAGACAGTTGATGTTTCAAAATCAATCTGTTGTTACGAGGCAGCCTGTGAGTTTTGTTGGATGGTGCAGACTTCTCTGGGAGGTGTGATTGAATTGAATTCTTGGGTTTTGGCAATATGAGAGTCTCATGGCTTCTTAGTGGCGAAGATATTGTATAGGTTTAGAAGGTGACGTGAGGTTATCACTCACAGATCTCTTAGTTAAAAGAAAGTGGAGCTTTCTCAGAAGTCTTGAGACTTTCTGAGATTTTTTTAGAATTTATTTGCTTTTTTAAATTTAAACTAAAGCAACTTTTATGGTGTCTGATACATTTAGGATACAAAAAGAGGCTGTTACATTGCAGAGTTCATGTACTTTAAAACCACTTGTTAAGGAAATCACTACCTAAAGTTAGGAGTTTGTTGAAAATGATGTTTGAAAGTTTATAAGTTCCTATTCATTAATGATTTTAATAAGAGAAATGTTTATGAAGAAGTTTTTTTCATGAAAGAAATAGCATGTATACCAGCACAGAATCATAAAATCATCAAGATTGGAAAAGACCTCCAAGGTCATCCAGTCCAGCCATCTACCTACTACCAATATTTGCCACTAAACCGTGTCCCTCAGGACCACGTCTAAACATTTTTTGGACGTTTCCAGAGATGGTGACTTCACCACTTTCCTGGGCACAGGTAGTTCTTAGATTAAGGGGGGGAAAAAAAAGAAAAGACTTGGATGAATTCTGTACAGGCTGTAGATGTGCATGTGGACACTGGGTTCTGGGAGCACTTACCAGCTGATAAGGAGATACTCTAGGTAATAATGTACATTGTAGATTCTCTAATGCATCCTCCAAACAGACCTTGATTTTTCTGGTTAGATGTAGGAGGAGCCTAGAGTAACTCAGTAGGTTCTCTCAGCGAAAAATAACTTTTGTCTAAGTCCTTTTTTCTGTGCTTCCTTGTAAACCTTCCATGTAATTTTGCAAAATAACATCCGACTTGATATGACTTTTAAAAAATGTATTCATTAAGTGTTGACAGCGTTAAAGTTCTCTTGTGCAGTACAGCTAATTAGGACACCTTGTCCAGAAAGCAAACTCTTTGTGACAATAAAAATCTTTTATCTTTTTTTTGCACAGAAAATCTCTTGAGAGCAAATAGTTCTCATACTGTAACCTCAAAGTAAAAAAAAATTCACACCCGTAAAAAATGGAGACAAGGAAATTGAGTCACAGTAATCTTGTTCTTAATTGCCATGTATATAAATGACATCCTGGTAGTGTGTAGAGCTGCTGCTTAACTGCAAGTTTCGTGTCAGGCAAGCTTTATTTATTTATAAGTTTGTAACAAGTTTTCAATAACATTCAGGAAAACTTCTTTCTCTCCTGTAAAGAAGTTAAGGTAAGAGTGATTACAGTGTTTAGCACTACTAATCTCTTCTAAGTTTCAGCTGAACAAATCGGCTTTGCCTGATACGATACAGCAGTCTTCAAGTGGTTTCTCATTTCTTCCGTGTTTTTCATGCATGATTGATGAACATCTTTTTATCTACTAGAATAAATAATTAAAACTGGATATCTTGAGTATCCTGAGGATTTTTTCTCCCCTTTTCTGATGAAGATTTGTACTGATGGCATGTGTAGCATTCTAGCTAAGGGAGTAATGGTCAGCATATCTTCTCTACTTCGTCGTACCCCTATTCCCTATTTTCATATTCTTTATGATTTTGTAGTGCCTGACTTTGAAGTAGCTCTTGAATGCCTCTGTTAGGAGAAAATGTGTAGTGGTATTGGGAGAGCAGTGGAGGCACCTTCCTGTCCTAAACAGAACCTGGAAAACCAAAAAGGGCTTTTGGTGACTGTGGAGTAAATAGCTGTGTTGAGGAGGTGTCCCATTTTAAATGGAAATGAACTGTGTTGTGAGGATCCCTCTTCTTCTTGAAAATAATTACTTGAATGAACCTAACGAAGTCTGTGTTGTGGAAAGATAGATGATCCCATTTTCATGGGAGTGTTATATATAGAAATATTTATTTTGCCATTCCAGGTGACACAGAAGAGTCACAAACAGGGATTCATTTTGCTGATAAAACATGTGGTTGTAGGCGAAACAAAAAACAAGAAAGAAAGAAAAAGTGGAGGAATAATACTGGATTCTCCTGTGATTTGAAGTGATTATGTTCTGTTTTTCCCTTTGCAGTGATCCCTGAACTAGGCAACATAAACTATTTCTGTATTCTTTCACTGTACTATCAAAGTAAAACTTGGCTAAACACAGAGATAACCAGTTTGTGGTTCTATCTCAGTTCCTACAAGTCTCCCAGGTTAATTGTGAAACAGTATTTCTGTTCAGTTAATGTTATATACAACTTAGTTTATTACATACAGAGAGCTTTGGCAGTAATATCAGTATTTTTGTAGCTTTTGAGTTTTACTGTTCTTTGAAAGTTGTCTTTTTTTTTTTTTTTTTTACACCGCTGTCCAGTTTGATTTTCATAAACGTTGCCTTGTCATAAATGTGGTGTTTGCAACAGGAAGAAGAATCATTTTTTTGTTCTGAGCAAATGTAACATTTAGAATTCATTTTCTAAAAACAATAAAAAATGGACCTAGTAAGTGAGCCATACCAATAGATTCAGACATGAAGAAAACTTATTCTCCTGGTGCTGTGTTGGATGCTGGGTAGAGAAAAATACTGTACCCTTATCTCATGTGAAAGTCTGTATGTGAGCAAGTGTACACAAATGCTGTTCTGTCAAGTATGTATATGAGTCAAATATTAACAGCAAGAGAAGCAGATGGCATTTCAGGTAATTCAGACTGTTGTGTTTTTAGCCAAGCAAAGTAGCTTGACAATGTTTAGAGGGCTTCCAAACTCCAGTCAGAAATAATTCCTGTCTGGGTGTGTTTCAAACAAAGTGGATTGTTGCTTTATGTAGGTTATGAGCATAGAATAAGTAGTTGGTTATTACTCAGCACTTCATGAGCCTGTAGCACTCAGTGATAAGAAAATGAGTTTTGATTTAAAATAAACGCATTGAATTTGTGCTATGCTGTATCAACCTACCTTGATAATACAAAGGTGATGTGGCTGGTGCTTCAATATATACCTTTGCATTACTGATGTGTGGGAAGCTGGACATGAGCCAGCAATGTGCTCTTGCAGCCTAGAAAGCCAAGCATATCCTGAGCTGTGTCAAAAGAAGTGTGGCCAGCAGGCTGAGAGAGGTGATCCTGCCCCTCTGCTCTGTGCTGGTGAGCCTTCACCTGAAGTACTGCATCCAGATGTGGAGTCCTCAGCACAGGAGAGACATGGGTCTGTTGGAATGTGTCTAGAGAAGGGCCACAAAAATGATCCAAAGGGTGGAATGCCTCTCCTGTGAGGACTGGCTGAGAGAGCTGGGGCTGTTCAGCCTGGAGAAGAGAAGGCTGTGAGGTGGCCTGATGGCAGCCTTTCACTATCCAAAGGGGAGTTACAGGAAAGAAGGGGACAGACTCTTTAGCAGGGCCTGTGGTGACAGAACAAGGAGAAATGGCTTCACGCTCAAAAAGGGTAGATTTAGATTGTATGTAAAGAAAAGTCTTTTCTAGTGAGGGTGGTGAGGCACTGGAACAAGTTGCCCAGTGGTGTGGTTGATGCCCTCTGTCCCTGGGGACTTTCAAGGACTGTGCATTGCAGTGGAGTTGGACTCGATAACCTTTAAAGGTCCCTTCCAACACTAAGGATTCTATGATTCTGTGAATTGCCAAGTTTCTGGGCTGTTTTAATATCGATGGATTGCTGGCACTTCAGAGTTCCCTTTGTTGCTGTTTTTGGGTCACGTTTGGGTTATTATATACCAATATTGTATACCTGCATTTTGGATCTCCACTGCAGAGCTTTGCTTTTCTGGTGTCTTGGAGCCAGCCAAGAGAGTCTGCATCGCTGGTCCTAAAAGTTTTGGTTTTAAAGATCTAAAAAAATGTATGTGTAACATTAAACATATTTAAGTTAGTTGTAAAAATATTCAAGAACTTGATGGTGATGTATATAAAGTAAGATTTGTCGCCATTTTAGTTTACGTTTGTCTGAAGGTAGCCTAATTTGACAGCACTAGGATAATGAAATGGATGCTACATTAAATATTTTATATTAGATTAATGTCAGCAATGTCAGAGCTGTTATGCTTGTACATTTTATAGGAAAGGCAGATATATATAGTATTAAGCAAACGTATATTGTTTAATACATAATTAACTAGTAGTTCTCAATAGCGTGACATGTTTTAATGCTTTAATTAGTCATTTGTTACAAGAAGAGGGGTTCATATTTGGTTTAAAATAGTCCAATTACAAAATACAGGTTATTTCCATAAACAGCAACAGCAGTGTATGCAGAGACATGTCTTTGTAAAAGTTATATAGAGATAAACGTCATGTAAATTTTTATGCACAGGTGTAAATTGTGTATATTAAGGCTTAATGGACTGCATTACATTATGTATTACATATATTACATATGCTGTGTTGCATTATATATTACAGAGCCATAAGGTTATGTAGGTTGCGTGTGACTTCCAGTCCAAATATGTTTAGACAAAAGTATGCAACTTTCAATGATATTTTAGTGTTTATTGCAGATAATGTCATTGTAGTAAAACTATTTTTCACTGTTTAACTTTCTTAATTTATAAATATTTCTGCTGACTTCAGATTGTGTAAGGCTGGACTTAATTATTTTTAATAGGAGAAAATATGCCTTAGCCAATGCTGTTTAGTGTTAGCAACACAGGAAGACTTTATTGCATCGTTCTGGGTTTGTGCTACATGTATTTCTGGAAGCTTGTATATCATTCACTGCACTTCTCTTGTCTTCTAGCTGACAGCACGATCACTGCCTTCCATACAGTCTGATGAGAGACTACAACCACTGCTTAATCATCTCAGGTAGTGTAAACAGAATGCACTTGGGGGTAGAATTTTTTTTCAGATACCTTTAGCTCTGTGATTGGCTTTGACTGGAGGAAAAAAAGAAAAAAAAGACAAGCTGGAAGAATATAGAGATATTCTAGTTTCTTGGAATGTATCTGAGGTTGAAGAGTAAGAATACTTTTTTGATATTCTTCAAGTTAGGCATAGGTTTTTCATCCATATATGATTATTTTTTTCCCCCCTACTTTATATTGTTTGGAGAATTCTCTTAATAGTATACAGTAAGACTAAACCATGCAACCAGACGGAGGTGCACTGGTTTAGAGCTAATGAAATATTCAGCCTTGAATGAACTTCTGGAAATGATCGTATCGAGGCCGTGCTCAAAACAGATCCAGTTAGATTGAGTGGTTCAGGTACATATCAGTTTGGATTGTTGAATTTTTGTTCTCTTTAAGAGTATAAATTTACTTAAATATTGAATGTCTTTAACAAGAGCCCTGTTTTTAAAGTTATACAGCATTAACTTTACTGAAATGATGCTAAATGAATTAGAAATGGATACAATGAGGCTCCATCATGACAGCGCTGTACCTGATTTAGGATGCAGATCTAGTCAGCATGCAGTTCATTTCCTATGGTGCTCTGCTGTTTGTGATATCTGTACCTAAAAAAAAAAAAAAATAAATCCAAGCCAAATTAAAAAAAAAACCGCAGCATTTTATTTTTTTCATCATTTTTATTAATAATACATAAAGATGTTCTTATGTAAATCAGAATAAGAGAAATTGTTTATTGATGTATGTTACAGAGCAGTGAATTGAAAAAGTGCCGCATAACTGTTACTTTACCATTCAGGGACTGCTTCTGATTGCTAATAACCTTTCATGTTTTTATTACCATACATCTTAGTGGGACTTTCCAAATATGCTCTGTGGCATACCTTTTTCAGTTTGACTCTGAAGAGCAATTAGGTCAGCTTTTTCTGAATTATGCTCTCCAGGAGGCATTGCTGAGAAATCTGAAATCTCCCATATGTGGAACAATCTTCAGTATCACGCAATCATAGAACATTGCACGTTTTTTTAAAATAACTTTGGTAAAGGAAAGTCTGCATAAAAAAACATCGAGTTTTACACTACTTAAACTAACTAAGGTTATCTGATGTTTATGCAAAATGGCATTTTTTTGCATACTGATGTTAATTTCGGTTTTTTTATTAAGCAACCAGTGAGCTGCTTTTATTTTACAGTTGTGACAGTGAAGGAGCTGTTCCCAGTACAGTCCCCAGTTGGAAAAATTATGCAAAAATCATTGTCTTTTGGCAAATTCATTAAAAATAGGTGGAATACATAAAATCCTACAACTTTAAAAACAGGCTCTAGCAGTGAACAGACAAATGACTAAATAGGTCTTTTCTGTTACTTATTTGCATGAATCAATGATTCATTTTTGCTTCATCTTACTCATAGGAAAAAGGAGACTATTAGTTTAGGCTTTCCTTTTCCTTCGGTGCATGAATTCTTACTGCAACATTTTATTTCTTGCACATGTCAATAGAGCTTTATCTGAGGCTCAGATAGAAAAGTGTGAAAAGAAAACAATTGATACTTGCAGAGCATTGTTCGGTTGTTAATGCTGTGTACATTTGTTGGCTGCTATTCATGACCGCATGGGACTTTTAAATTAGCTAGTCCTCAAAGCTGATTTCATTATGGATTATGTCAGCGTAGACACTTGAATTTCTGCTTGTTTTCTTTTAAAATGGGCATTTCTGTGGTTGGGCTAGTTTAGACTAAATGTATATTTTATGTGAGACCTGGGTACTCACAGGTCAGAATTCTTAATGGTGCCAGAGGATATAACAAATGACAGTGGTTACATGTAGCAGCTTTGGAGTTTCAGATGAGATATTAGCAAAAATATCTCTGCTAGGGTTATTGTGCAGCATGTAACCCAGAGATAGGGAATCTTTTGTTCTTGGAAATCATTAGGAACAAGCTAGAAAAAATCCAGGGCTGACCTGATTACAGTTGATCGTAGTGCCACTTTAAGTTGAATGTGGAACTAAATGGTCTTTCAGCGTCTTTCACAAACAACATTTGCATAATTTTGTTTGTTCTGTTATCAAATGATAGTTCCCAAGGTTGGTGCTGAAAACAATTGTTTTGCAAGTCTAGATTTTTTTTTTTTAAAATGAATCTGCACAGTTCTTGTGCAGATATGTTTACCCTCCTCACACTCATACTGTAAAGAAGGAACACCACCATAGACTTGTCATTTCCTATCCTCAACATCATCAAAATGTCCTTCATATCCCTACTAAATCTCCTGGTACACTAAATGCTTTATTTGTCAGAATGTTTTAACAGATCTTTTTTGAAAGACACATCCTACTCCTGGTAATGTGGGTATGGAGATTTCTTCTTGGTGGTCAACAATAATGCATGTGTATGTATGAGCAGTCATTGAGAATTTAACTCCCTGTAAATTGAATGCTTATGATAAGTAGCCCATGTTTATCTTTGTCTTCCTCCTCACTTTCTGTCTCAGTTTAGAGTGTAATCCAGCTTTTAAATTTTAACCCATTCACATGTAATCAGATGTGTAGACTATTTTAGAACAACTTAACTTGGTCTAACTGAAAGACAGTAACTACAGTGTTCTGTTTCTGCCCTGGATCATGACATGTAAGCAAATAATTGTTTGGCATGTAACAATATAGGAAATAGGATTGTGTGTTACAGGAAAATTTTATTTGTTGTCTGTTTATATTCTTCCAAGCTTGCTCAGCTTAAATAAGCCACTTTATCTTTTAGAATGTTTTGGCTTTGTGTCTGTTATTGGTTTAGGCATTTTGGATATTAATCCTGAATTATGAATTACTTTGATTTTTCCTCATTACTTGAATTCCTAAGAGCAGACACTGAAATAATAGATTACATCATACAGATATGATCTGTTTACAGCAACCTGTGTAAAGTAAAAAATTCTAAGCTTTTCTTCCTTTTATATTCTTAAAATTTATTTTGCATTCAGTATTGCATTAATGGCTTAACTGTTTCCTAGCATTGTTTGTTCAAACCAGCATTACTACAGTTCTGACAATTCTGTTGAACGTGACCCAATTCGTAAATCCTTACAAAATTTAATACTTATTGCCAGCTAGAAATGCTTAAGAAAATACATATCTCTAATTGTTTTCCTGTGGAAAATGTGTGTATGGTGTCTTTAGAATTGTGTTTTTGCAAGAACATAAACTTGCATGAAAAAAAATGCATAAGCACAGACAGAAGTGCTTTTGTTCTTGTAGTTGCTGACTGTTGCCACTTTTTGACCCCTTTGTGTTCAAATGACAGTACTCTGTTCCTATGCTGGACTTAGCATTTTGTTCCCTTATTTTTATTTCAGTCTGCCTAGCAGCATACGTTGAAACAGGCACATTTTCATTCTTAAATAGTGCTTTTTATACATCTTTTGTAGAAAGGAATGCCAGTCTTTCATCTGGGTGATGTGGGTGTACTTTTGAAAGAAACTCTAAAAATAGATTACATCTAAAAGCTTTACAATCTGATGATTGAAAAAACAATATTGAAACGGTGCTATGATGTTTACTGAGGAATTGTAAGACTAATGAGATTTTAGAACTGTTATTTGAACTTGCAGTTAATCTTTAGTTGTAAGATAGGCTTGGAATTATTTTAGTATCTGTGATTTTTGGATTGTGGACAGTTCTTGAGTGATTGAAGCATGCTGAATGAAGAGATGCAGGAATTTCCGTATGGAGGGAAAACAAAATTATTTTGGAGTGAAAAAATGAAGGCATTGTGGCTTGTTAGAATGCAAGCAGACAAAAAGAAATTGTGAAGAGCTATATGGATTTTTAATTGAGTGAGGAACTATCAATATCAGGGAGTAACCACAGAAGTTGTGTGGAATAAATAAAGAAAAGGGGGGGGGGGGGGGTAAGTCCAAAAGAAGAGCTAAAACTGGAAGCTGAAAAGAGTGAGGGTGATCAGAAGCCTGACTTGTGTTGTGAAGCATTTCCAAATCAGTAGTGGGAGGCTATTTGGCAGTGTGTAACGGTGTAAAGAAATGAGTGCTGTTATTTATAGAAGAAAGGATTGTCCTTTTTTTTCCCTCAAGGTTGTTGAGATTTTCAGTAGAAAAGTAGAGAAAATAATGGCAATTGGAAAGGCAATAAAGTATTGTTTCATTGTGATCAAGGGATCTACAGAATTTCTACTGTTGAAAATGAAAGACATGATGCATAAAACTGCAAATCTGAAAGTTTCTGTCCAATGGAATCCTACAAACATGTAACCAGTTCTGGCTTTGTTATGCCCAGCTCCAATGTACCACGTACTCTGCATGGATGAAGGTGTTGTTTCAGTTTTGTTCACCTTTGAATGCAGTGCGTAGAGTTCAGCTCTGTGGTGTCAGGAATGAAGCAAATTGGACAGGCTGAACCAATATGCTGACAGAAGTTCCATGAAGTTCAACAGAGGAAAATGGCAGGCACTGTGACTGGGTAGGAACAACACCGTGTACAAGTACAGTACGACACATGACCTTGCCATGGTCATGTACTACTTTTTAATGTAAAAGCTGGGAAGCACACTTGAAACATTCCCTCTTTGCCTACTGTGCTGAGGATACCTACACCCAGGAGGGGAGTAAACTGTTCAGAAGGGCTGATAACAGCAGGACTAGGGGAAATGGTTTTAAGTTGAAGGAGGGAAGATTTAGGTTGGATGTTAGGGGGAAGTTCTTTACTAGGAGAGTGGTTAGGCCCTGGAACGGGCTGCCCAGGGAGGTTGTGGATGCCCCGTCCTTGGACGTGTTTAAGGCCAGGTTGGACGGGGTCCTAGGCAACCTGATCTAAATGTGTATGTTTGGTGGCCCTGCTAGGCAGGGGGGTTGGAACTACGTGATCCTTGGGGTCCCTTCCAACCCGGGTGATTCTGTGATTCTGTGATATTTAAGCTTTTCAGAGTCTGGAAAGTATCATTTATTCCACCCACCCACTACTTGAGTTCTCTGTCTTAGCTGTGCATTGTTATATAAATGAAAACAAACTAGTGCTGTGCTTGGTCCCAGAAATAAGCCAAAATGACCAATGAGTAGCATGTATAATAAAACAAGTGATTTGCACCACGGTAAAATCAATTTGTAGCTGTATGTTTTTCCAGACAGTACAGTGTTGAAATGTCACAGAATAGTCAGTGGCACCCAGTATCATTGTTTTAGTTAAATTCTTCTTTTTTTTTTCCTGATGTTTCTCTCTCTATTTGTCCAGAAGATTTGAGAAATGATCTCTGTACGTCACTTGCAAAATCCCTTTGGCACAAAGAAATTTGTTCTTACCCAGGCTTTACAGCTTACTAGGTTAAAAATGATTTTTGATCCCTTAAACTAGACGTATCTTTGTGCTTGCTTTGCCTGCTGCACTGTCAGCTCCTAATTTCTGTAGGGTTCTGCTGTAAGCATTTCTCTTGGCCTGTTCTGCAGTACTGCGTATCCTCAACCAAGAAAGCTGTATATTTACAAGCAAAACCCAGCCACCTCATGCTTGTGTTTGATTTGAAATGACTTCATTGATGGTGCTTACATGTTTGCTGTGATATAGTATTGCATTGCCTGAGCTAAGCTTAGTTGTCAGAAGTAGCTTTGCTACAGTATGGGTGAGAGATGAGGCTGCGTGTGTTGAACCCTGTGCTATTTTGGCTAGACAGCTACTGTGAGGAGTTTTTATGTCAGTACTGCAGTAAGTCCTCCTCCGCTTTTTTGTTGGTACTCTGAAGAAGAAGGTGTTCAGTTTTTCCTTTTCCATCCCAGCAGATGTTCATAGTGATACATAAGTAATAGCTTTTTTTTTCTTAAATGCTGCACAAGTAGAAGAGTAGCAAGGTACAAGAAGTTCTTGCTAGAAGAAAACAGAAGTACCCCACCTTTAAGAAGGGTAAGGATAAGGATTTAGGAAAGTACAGGCTGGTCGTTCTCATCTTGGTTTCAGACCTATGAAAAGCAAGAAGGAGATCACGACACAGATTTCAGAAGGTGAAATTATGCTTCACCAACCTTATTGCCTTGTCAGGTGGAATGAGTAGCTCAGTTGATGGAGGAGAACAGTGGATGTTTATCTGGATTTTAGCAGGACTTCTGACTCTCTCTGAAGTAACAGTTTCCTTGGTAAACTGATGAAACATGGGCTATATATATATATGGACAGTGAGGTGGTCTGAAGAGTGCTTTGCTCAGAGGGTTGAAGACCAGTTTAGAGGCCTGCTGTTAGAGGAGTGCCTCAAGGGTCAGTGCTGTATGGTTCGGTGTCTCTTTTAATAAATTAAATGATGGGATGGAGTGCACACTTAAAAAATGGCAGATGCAAAACTGAGACGAGTTTGTCTCACCAGGAGTTGTGCAGACTTAATCAGAGCAACTTGGACTGGCTGAACAGATGTGTGACAGAAGTCCATGAAGTTAACAGAGGGAAATGCCAGGCACTGCATCTGGGTAGGAACAACCCTGTGTACAAGTACAATCTAGGGGTGACAGCTGTAAAACAGACTTGCAGGAGGAGATCTTGGGGTCATGGTAGACAGCAAACTGAGAGCCACCAGTATACCCCTGAAGCAAGGAAAATCAGCTGTCTCTTGCATGTTATTAGGAAGAGCACTGCCTGCAGGTCAAGGGAGGATTCTTCCTCTTTGTTCACTTCTGTTGAAGGCCCATTTGGAGTGCTGGGCCCGATCCTGTCTTAGAAGGAAAGGCTGAGAGCTGGGATTGTTTAACATAGAGCAGAGGTTTAGGTGTATGTGTGTCCTACTGACAAATAAAGAAGTACTGTATAAGGGGTGTAAAGAAGATAAAGCCAGACACTTCTCAGTGATATCCAGTGATAAATCAGGAAGCAGAGGACGCAAATTGAAATCCAAGCAATTCTATTTAAATATAAGTAAATGTGTTTTAATGCAATTTGAACACTGGATCAAGTTGCCCAGGAGGTTGTAGAGTCCCCCTTGGAGGTGCAAAAAACCCAACAGGATAAAATGCTGTGCAGCCTGCTTAGTTAATTCTGTTTTAAGCAGGGGGATTGGACTAGCTGATCTTCAGAAGTCTCTTTCAGCCTCAACAATAGTGTGATGCTGTGATCTAAATTCTGGATGACAATGCAGCATTCCTTTAGGATATAGGAAAGGAGGATTTCTTCATGCTGGCTCTTGAAACCTAAATTACATGACTTGTTAACTATTTCTTTCTTGGTTTTGTCTGCTGTAAAATATTTCTAGCCCTTAATTGATAAAATAATTTCTTCCCAAATTTGTAAATATTAATAAAGGAAAAAAATTGAATGGAGGTAATTTTAAATGATGTTGTATTGCTTGCTTTGTTTTTCAGCCATTCTTACGTTGGCCCAGATTACAGCGTACAAAAAAACACTGGAAAAATTGCTCTAGAGCACATTGATGCTGTAAGTCCTCTCAGTTTATTGAGTTCTATAATATGTTGATGAATTCTGATTTAAAGCCAGATGCCTTATATGCAGACAATCTTGTCATTTTTTATTCAGTATTTGTTTTGTAACTGTTGAGAGCTACTTGATTGAAATAGTGTTTTTAAAATGGAACAGAATTAACTGAAAATGTATCTAATCAGGATTTAAATTGAAGCTATAATGAGTTGCCTAATTTGTTGCTTAGTTCTGTGTATTTTCATAAGTACCTAAAGCAACCACTATAAGCAGATTTAAATAAAATTTTTTTATTTAATTATTTTTCAACTTAAACATTTTACAAGCCTTTTATCTGAACTGTAGAAATAGGTTTTAGTATCTACCTTAAACACAACAACATTCCTTTTAGTTTTGAATTCTATGACATGACTCAGATATCCAAAAATTAAAGATGCAAGGCCCAAGTAAACTTAAGTGTTGCGTTGTTTTTTCTGTTGGGAATCTTGTTTCATAAGAAATAATTTTCTTCAGATAAAGAATCTGCAGATCAGCTGCAATGAATGTTAGTCTTGCTTGTAGATGCTTGAAGATGTTAATACAACAGAACCCCGATAAATTATTGATGTCTAAAGGATACCATGTACATGCATATTATTCCTTCTAGCCATTCACATTTTGAAGTGATCCCAATAAGCTTACATCCTACCAATTAAATGACCACTGTCTTTTTTTTCTCTTGACAGCTTTCTGTGAAATCATTCCCTCTTTGCATGCGCCAGTTGCACAAAGCCCTACGTGAGAACCATCACCTCCGTCATGGAGGCCGTATGCAATATGGACTTTTCTTAAAAGGCATTGGTTTGACTCTAGAACAGGCACTGGAGTTTTGGAAGAAGGAATTTATCAAAGGAAAAGTGGATGCAGACAAGGTAATTCAACTAGTGAGAAAGACCTGATATGAACGTGAGGATGCAGTTAATGTGCATATGTGCTGCAGGTTTGGATAGGTGCTTGTTAAAGTAGATAATTGTACAAAAACACAGTTACGTGTTTTAAAGCTTTGGTTTTTTTTCTTTTTCATTATGATTTTATTTATTTTGTTTTGGAAATTCTTGTGAAGTATGGAAAAATACAGACTAGCCACAAAACCAGAGGCTTTTTTAATGTAAGGTCTAGGAAATCTTATTTTACCACTCAAATCAGTGGGAAACTGCTGTTGTGAAACAAGTGCTGTGTGACTAAATTAGCTCACAGCGTAGGTAAGTGGTATTATGAGCTGTAAGGAGAGGTTTGTCTTTTTGCTCATTAATAAAAATAAAATTAGTTGAGCAGCTGTGTCAGCTTGCTGTAGCAAATTTACAGTCTCAAAAGAAACAGTGTAAGAAGAAACTTCCCTTGTTTCACACGGTCTTGTGTTTTAACCATCTGAATCAAGCAGGTGCCCTGCTTTATCCATGTGCTTGGCCTGTGGTACATGCCATTAGGGCATACAGGCCGAGTTCAGGAGTGTTCTCTTGGAGCAAAAGTTTCAGACCTTACATCAATTTTGTTTGGACTATATTATTTTACATTGATGTTATGAGATCTTAGCTTTCCAGAGTACTATGAAGGTTGACAGATGATTTTCTTTTTTACTAGCTCAAGTTCCTATGCCTTGGCTATTTCAACAAAAAAATGTAGCTCTAGGTATACTGAATTACAGTATGCATCTTCTCTTCCAAATCCCAGAAGATAGTTGAACTGGTCTGCAAATCTTTTGGGAAGAGAGAAGAAAACGGCATTTTAATAAAGACTTAGACCAATGTAAATCTAGTTCCTTTTTGGTGCATGATTTAAGAGTAAATGTGTGTTTTGTAAAAGCAGAAAAATCTGAAACACAATTTTTTACAAAGATTCAAAAAGAGATTTCAATCTAGATAATAAATCTGATTTTGCAATTGGATACCAACTAACTGCTGGCAGCAGTGGGTCCCTTTTGGAACAGCTGGAGCTGGCTCTGACCTGATGTGGGGCCATTTTGGACTCTTCCCAGAAGCTACCCTTGCAGTCCCCGTGAGGAAAGCCTTGCCACATAAACCCAACACAAATATGTATGTCTGTTATTTCTGATGGAAAAAATATTGCATGAGTGTGTCCCATTCCACCCGCTTGCATGTTGACACCAGTTGTGTGCACATTTATGAAAATATGCATGCAGTTTGTATCCTTATTTAAAGTAAGTTTTATGAGCTTGGGTTTTGCTGGCTGTGGCTTTCACAGCAAAATGTTCCGTAATGCTTAAAGTCCCAAAAAAATGAAGGTGAATGCACTTCTAATTGGTACTTTTTTCTTTTGGCATTTTTTTCTGACACTGGTGCCCTGTTTCCTTTCCCATAGATTTGAGGTAATTAAACTGTTTTGTCCCACCAGAGCTTTGCAAAGGTAGATGATGATGGTACCTTGATAAAGATTAGGGTTAATTACTGGGTGATGTATTGTGAAAAAGGAGTGTTTGGTTTGTTGCAAACAGTTGTTTTAAAATTGTGTGTTCACATTGGTCTTGAATGGCAATAACATTTAGGGTGGTTTTCAGTTTTAAGATTAGTTCACAATTTCAGTTTTCAACAGGAAGGGAATCACCTTAGCCGCATGAGCAGTGCAGTGAAGTGAGTATTACAGACTAAGCACAGGTGCAAGGAGAATTTGCACCAGAAAATAAGCCCTCCTGTGCTCCTAAATCACTGAGGTGGGCATAGCCTGGATTTTCGTGATTAAAAAAAAACACTTTAGAAAACACATTTCTTTTTCCCTTGAGAGGAGACTGTGGTAGTTATGAATACAAAGTTTCACACTTCATTTAATGCAAGAAGTCAAGTGGAACCTGGGAAGAACACCCTGAAACTGGTGGTGATCCTGTGGGGAAAGTTATTAAGTAGTGGCGTGTTCACAGCAGACAGACGCAGAGCACAAAGCAACATGTGCTTTTGCTTGCAGCACTGAAATTAAAATTATTTTGCTATTTGCTAGGCTAAAATACCTTAATGTTAAATTGTTGTTCAGATTATAGGATTGACTGCCAAATTGTGATAGATGTGTTACTTCTGACTAAATGGTCATACTGTTTGGCTTCAAAACCTCAGTGTTATTTTAAGGTATCGTTTGTTTTTTATCTATGTAATATGTGATATTACTCTGAACAAATCCCAATCTATTCTTTCATATCCTTTTCTGGGTTAACTCTTCTCTCCCTGTCCACCCTCCCCAAAATGCCCTTTCCTCTTCCCCCCCTCCCCGAAAAAAAAATAGAAAAAATATACCCAAATACTCAATATACTTTAAAAATAATTGAAACAAGAAACTGGAAAGGTGAACTAAGACACATTAAATAATTGCAACGAGGTAAGCAGGGAGGATAGTTGAAAACAAAATAATTTTTTACAGGAGAAATTGTTACTTGGTTGCTGTTGTTTATATGATCTGTTTATATGAGTGTTCTGTGAATGTGAAGTCAGGGACTTGAAGGAACATGAGTTTAGAGCAAAGAAAAGAATGAAACCTGCTGCTGTCAGTTATTGTAGCTAATAGCTTGGCATCGAAGCTTAAGTTAAAATAAGGGAGTCAGGCTGGACGTAATGAAGAGCTCAGCATGGAGGCAGTGGAGCACTGGAGCAGTTTCTTCAGAGATGTTATGTGATCTCTGTACTTCCAAGTTTCAAAGATCCAACTGGACAAAGTGCTGTGCAGTCTGATGCTGCTTGAAGCAGCAGGCTGGACTAGACATCTTCTGAAGTTCCTTGCTAGTTCTGTGATTCTGCACACGCAACTGGTTATAGGTAGAAATTGTTGTGGGAGCTAGCCACTAGAGGGAGACAAGATCATAAAGAATGAACAAATACAGCCTGTAGATCTAAGTTCAGAGTGCTTATACTGTGATGCTTTGCTTTGCTTTTCTGTATATTTATATTGTGAAAACAAACGATACTTTAGAATGAAAATAGAAATAGGTATCTGCTAATATGCTGAGCAGTGCTTTTAAGCATGCAGAGCATTCTACAGTGGATTTTTGTAATGCACAAAATGGCGTGGTGGTTCCTTAAAATGACCTCTACCTCCTTAAATCTCCTGGAATATATTCTTTGTCAGTCAGCTGATTGCATTTAATTTTGGTATTTCACTTTCTCATTTGTTTCAGATTTGGGAGTTGATTTACAGCGAGGTTTGCTTTACTTGTCCTTCTTCTATTGGGATAATAATGGTACCTGCTATTTTCAGAGCGTGTTTTGATTCATAAGATTGAAGAAGATCTCTGTTCTGTCACAATTAATTATAATTCTCTAGTCAGATATAATTTGCTGCTTTTGTTCTTGAGTTATTTAAATCTGAGAAAACTGCCAAAGCCTAGTGATACATTAGACAGGAAACCACAATATTTGGCATCTGAGAAATAGAAATATGAATCTAATTGAAAATCCTTCATACAAATTAACATTTGATCTTTTATTTTTCATTGTACATCAGTAGTACTGTAATGCAAATAGATGGCTAGGTGTGAATTCTCTGGAGATGCCAGAAGGCTACAGTAAAACTTTAAGGAAATGATCACCATCTTTTAGGATTGCAAAACCAGAACATATATGTTCCCTATATTACCTATAAAATATTATCCCCTGAAATCTGTGGAAAATGGTAGAGTAGTGCGTCATGGTAGCAAACTATTGATATTATAGCTAAGCATCCTTGCTTTCATTGGTTATTGGAGGACTGGATAGTTAGGATCTTGAATAAATTGCGTTTTTATGTTAAACTCCCACAGATTTGGCTATTGGCTACAGAAATTAGCTTCAGTAGAACCACCGTCTGTATTCCTCTCATTGTTTGGAAATAATTTCATTCTCTAGGTGTAGTGAGATAGAGTATTTTCACACCAAAATAAAGATTTTGGGTGAAAGAGTTTTGTCTGTATTGGCAAAAATGACGTTGCTTAACTCATATGTTGAATGACTGCTTTCATAGTATAGCTGAGCGTAAAGAAGGTCAAAATACTTTCATGCTATGTTTTCAAATGCTTTTCATGTTCTACAAACAAAGATAGCCCTTCAAGCTGCTTTAATAGCAGGTTAAATGATTTAATAATCAAAAGAAATATTAAAATGTATTTTCATTTAAATGTCTCATTAGGATTCCCAAACATACTATTGAATTTGCATTACATCTTTTCTTTAAAAGCAAGTTTAAAAAAACCAAAACATACTAGAGTTTTTTTTAAGAGTATTTAATTTAAAATTCAACCTCAAAAGCTGAAGGATATCCAGATTTTGCTGTTCCTGAGTTCTTTTGTTTATGTTTCTTTATTATAGAACTTCATGTCATTCCTCTGAAGAGGTAGGTCTGTGCAGTCAGTATGCTTTACAAAACAGAAGTGAATAAACCAAGATACCTGTTGTGTTAGTAGCTGAACAGCTGTTGCAGCATTAATATGTATCAAGAGAAAAATGCCCAATGTGAATTCCCTAGTGGTGGTGCTTATCAGCTTTGCGGCATCGAGTCCATCATCAAGAGATCTCCTTTCATATAGCTTACTTTAATATCTTTTATGCATATTAAATTGAAGACTTGGTGTTAAGAGATGTGTTCTTCAAATGGTACTTCCTTGTTGCTGAAGGTGATGGTTACGTGGCTGCTGAGGTCAATTAGCTGAAGGAGTCTAAGCTGAAAAATTCAGGATGGTCTGGTGTTTTTATAATAATCGATTAGCGGTAGAGATATTGTGAGTGAATTTGTTTTATGCTCGGAACTTACACAGCTAGACGTGAGAATTAAAACTTGAAGACACAAGTGGATGGATTACTGTTGTTGTGTCTGAATCAAGCTGAATTAGTACAACTTTCACAGAATCACAGAATTGTAGGGGTTGGAAGGGACCTCCAGAGATCATCGAGTCCAACCCCCC